GGAAAAGCACTATTTTTATGATAAACTCTATCACAAGGTTATTTTTATTCTTGCTTGATTTTTAGGTTTTAATCCATTCAAATAGCTTGGTGGCTGCCTTCTACAATATCACAACGTCCTGGGTTTTCTAGAATTCACTAGGTCTTAATGAAATCTTTTCTGAGCCGGATGTCAAATAAGAACACCATTTCTTCATTTGTATTGCTTTACAGAATAACAGAGTTGGAAGGGACCTTGGAGGTCTTCTAGTCCAACCCCCTGCTGAGGCAGGAAACCCTACACCACTTCAGACAAATGGTTATCCAATCTGTTCTTAAAAACTTCCAGTGTTGGAGCATTCACAGCTTCTGAAGGCAAATTGTTCCACTGGTGAACTGTTCTCGCTGTCAGGAAATTCCTCCTTAATTCTAGGTTGCTTCTCTCCTCAATTAGATTCCATCCATTACTTCTTGTCCTGCCTTCAGGTGCTTTGGAGAAGTATCCTTTATAAGTATCCTTCCACAACATGGTATATAGAATACAATAGAATAGAATTCTTTATTGGCCAAGTGTGATTGGACACTATTCTAGAGATGTTGGACTGCAATGTTCATCCCTACAAACCGAGGATTCTTTGCTTGCTGGAGTTGATGGGAATTCTAAGATTATGAGGGGATGGTGCCACCAAGGCGAGCTGGTATGATGGACTACAATGAAAAGCCATTTTCTCAAGGAGGGTGTGCATAATCCAGAAAAAGGGGCAAGATAAGAAGCAGCATAGCCTGGAGAAGACAGAAGAAGAGGAGGCAGAGGAAGAGAATAATGATAGCCATTCCCTATACCTCCAGGGCAGTGGTGAAATCCAATTTTTTTTACTATCGGTTCTGTGGGCGTGGCTTGTTGGGCGTGACAGGGGAAGAATACTGCAAAATCCCCATTCCCTCCCCACTCCTGGGGGAAGGATATTGCAAAGTCTTCATTCCCACCCCACTCTGGGGCCAGCCAGAGGTGGCATTTGCTGGTTCTCCGAACTACTCAAAATTTCCACTACCGGTTCTCCAGAACCTGCTGAATTTCACCCCTGCTCCAGGGTATCATCCATTAAGATGAAGGTAGTAAGGGATTAGACTGGCAAGATACTGTCTATTGTTGTAAACAAATAAAGAAGTGAATTGTCATTATATAGCCTGACAAAGATGTCTTCAGACCAACAGATTGGAGGAGGAAGGTGCAAAATGAACTATTTCCACGTAAATTCATGAGGAGCACCCTACTGCTCAAGGTTGCCTAAGAGAAAGTGTCAAGCACCAGGGAAATCAGCGTAGGACAGTGATGGCTAACCTTTTTGTCATCATGTGCTGAAAACGCCCGTGCTCCTGCACCCATAATGCAATGCACTCATGACACCACTTGCCCAGTGGTGAAATCCAAATATTTTTACTACCGGTTTTGTGGGTGTGGCTTGGTGGGTGTGGCATGGTGGGCGTGGCAGGGGAAGGATATTGCAAAATCCCCATTCCCTCCCAACTCCTGGGGGAAGGATATTGCAAAATCTCCATTCCCACCCCACTCTGGGGCCAGCCAGAGGTGGTATTTGCTGGTTCTCCAAACTACTCAACATTTCCGCTACCGGTTCTCCGAACTGCTCAAAATTTCTACTACCAGATTCTCCAGAATCTGTAAGAACCTGCTAGATTTTATTCCTGCCCCTGCACATGCACGTGTGCCCCCGTTCCCCTGCGCATGCGTGCACACACATGCATGCACACACCCCTGTGCATGCGTGCGCAATCCCCCTGTACCCTGTTTTAGGCCTAGTAGGCCTCCCTGCAGCCTCTTAAATGGGACACGGTGGCTCAGTGGCTGAGCTTGTCAATCGAAAGGTCGGCAGTTCAACTCTGAAAATGTAGCTCAGGGTTGAAGTGTGTTAGATCGTGGGCGCAAGAAAGGACAGGACACGTAGTAAACTCCAACACTTTTATTAGCTCCGTAAATCGTAATGCAATCCTAGCCGCGGCAGCTCCTTTCATAGCTAGGAGCTGTCCGCGGCTTCAGCCACTGACGGTCCTATGAGTTTCCCGCTCTTGTCCCTGATTGGTCCATTCAAATCTGCCATTCAATACTCAATGAAGTGAGTGAGTGAAAAGTCTTGTCTGGCTGCAAGATAGGTTATAGATAGTCCTCAGCTTATAACCATTCATTTAGTGACTGTTCAAAGTTACAACAGCACTGGAAAAAGTGATTTGCAAGTGATCCTTGTGCTTACAAACCATTGCAGCATCCCCACAGTTACGGGAACAAAATTTGGGTGCTTGGTTACCGGCATGTATTTATGATGGATAAGCATCCAAGGTTCATGTGATCATCTAATTAAATTTGCTATCTTCTCAGCTAGCTTCTGACAAGCAAAATTAATAGTGAAACCAGATTAAATAATGACTGCATGATTCACTTAATAACTGCAGTGATTTGCTCAACAACCAGGCCAAAAAAGGTTGTAAAATCAGGGACAACTCAATTTATAATTGCCTTGCTTGACAATGGAAATTATGTCCTCTTTTGCAATGGACGGTCAACATATTGTGATCATAGACTATATCAGGACAGCAACATATTCAAGAGTTGGGACTGAACGATATACCCAAAACAGTAGCTCTCCAAAGGTGAAGAGTAGCTCTCCAAGGGATGCCTCAGCACAAACTATTTACTCTGTTTTTATTACTTCGTACTAGTAATCCAATCCAACAGGTGGCGCCATCCAACTGATTTCAAGTCATTTTGAAAAATTAAATAGGATCAGGTTTAAATAAGGCCTGGATAGGAAAGTAGTTATTCTTTGTCTCTCCTGTACAAATATCCATTTTTTCCTGCCTTTTGGGAAGTTGGCATGCTAATGTTTGTCCTTATTGCCAGTGCCCAAAGATCAGACAGAGGGTTCTATCCTTCTAATTATTTATTCAGACAAACCTCTGAAGTCAGATACTCAAAAGTTTAATAACAAAATATACATCAACATAAAAGGTAAGGACAGGATTCATTTTCTGCATAATTCTTCTACAAAGGAAACTTCCTTGGTTTTGTAAACTTGAAATAATGTAATGAGTGTCTAAATCTAGAGGAGTTGCAGTTTTGTGTGTTGTGAACTCACTGAGGCCTCAGCTATTACTGAATTCATATACGGTTCTAATTAGGGTCCTTGTTATGTACTGTTTTAAATAATGCCAAACAACTAGTAAAGTTGAAGTTAAATTAGCAGACATCATAGTATCATAAAGGGCAAAACCAAGTTTGCCATCTTTGGGTCAGATTGGAAGGCACAATACAGATAGTCCTCAATTTATGATCACAACTGAGCCCCAAAATTATGTTGTTAAGTGAAAATTTTATTAAGTGAGTTTTCCCCCATTTTATGACTTTTCTTGCCACATTTGTTAAGTGAATCACTACAGTTGTTAAATTAGTAACATGGTTGTTAAGTGAATCTGCTTTCCCCATTGATTTTGTTTGTCATAAAGTTGCAAAAGGGGATCACATGATACCGGGACACTGCAACCGTCATAAACGTGAGTCAGTCATCAAGCATCCTAATGTAAATCACATGACCACGAGGATGCTTCAATAGTCATAAATGGGAAAAACAAAGTCCTAAGCAGTGGTGGGTTGCCCCCGGTTCAGACCGGTTCTATAGAACCGGTAGTAAAACCGGAGGGAGGCTCCGCCCACCCACCCTGATGCGCAGAAGAGCACGCGTGCGGCCCCATTGTGAACCGGTAGTAAAGGTAAGTAGAACCCACCGCTGGTTCTAAGTCACTTTTTTCAGTGCCGCTGTAACTTTGCACGGTCACTAAACAAACTGTTGTAAGTCGAGGACTACCTATAACTCCAGTTATTGCTATCAGCTCAGAGAAAGCCCCATTGTGTGTCAAGGACTGCCTTTTAATTCAAATATTGACTAAGAGCGTACAGGAAGGAACCGCTGTTACAGATCACGAGTAGATTTCAATGTCAACAACTTCCTTCAACTTAACAATGGATGGTGAGAGTGATGATGGGAAGAGCCTTTGCCTCAGTGCTAAAGGATCCACCACTGTCCTAAGTAACGTAGACAAGAGCATTCCGATGACCTCATTTCTGGAGCCCCCAGTATGATCCGGTCCTTACATTTGGCATCTATAATTATACATCGGTGGGGAAATAAAAGTAAGCCATTCTTGCTTGTATTCATCTCAGGAGTCCCCCCTCCAAGGTCTTATGACATATATGGCTGAAAACTTGTATTTTTGACCACTGATGCATATAAGCAAGGTTCAGAGGTTTGCCTAGGATTGGTTGCCTGTTGGGTTTTCTGTGGCTGGTGATTCAAAATAGCATAGGAGACTTCATCCGGATGTTCTTCAATATCAGAGGACTAGAAAGAAGAAGAAAGGCTTAGAAGACATACTTTCCTTCTCTGTTGCAATACAAGCACATGAGGTGATGTAATGGTGGGTGGGAATGAGCTTGCAAGAGGAAGAGATGCTGCCTAGGGAACGAGCAGATAAAAGGAGGGGGAGCCTGCAGCTGAACAATGGGTGGAGAAAGAAGCTTAGAAAGGAGCCATTCTAACTTCTCAGGTGGTAAAAAGAGACAGTGCGTGCTTTGCAAGGTTGGTGTCACTCTCCCAAGTACTAAGCTCCCCCTGAAAGCACAAATCTCCCAGCATCTCTGGGGCAGATCCTTTCTATGATTCTTTCGCAAATACATAGATTTCATAGGTTCTTTGTGTGGGAAAAAAATATTTAACTTCTTTAAGCCAGCCTATGTTCATATCCTACTTTGTTTTTTCTTAATTCTCGTTCACTGTGCAATTAGAGAAAGTAAAGATATATACAACCATTTTCTCTTGGATTATAAAAAATCTTCCAATATTGAAAGTTTTCTAATGTTGTCACCTATTCCTAGTAAGCTTCAAGTTTCTCTTTAAACCACAAGGTCTAAAAATGTGCTTTGCTTCTCTCTCTGATACTATTGTCCATTATCTTTTATGTAGAAGCTTTTTTATACTGCTCTGTGAAAATGAAGGCAATGCAATCATTATGTGAGGCTTATAGACCATAGTTAGTATACTAAGTATTTAGAATACTATTTATCCACTTTTCTGTAACCATTTTTATTACAATATTATCTCCACTTACTTTTTCTTCTTTTGTACCATACTGCGACCAGTAGTGCCAAGACAAGCAGGAAAAAGCTCACAGCCATGCGTACCCATATGTATAATTTAATAATATCTGTAAAGCCAAAACACTTGCATTTTATTTTTCATTTCAAACAGCCTTACTTTTTCTGAGTTTCTGTATCAGATCCAAAAAATAATGGCTACCATAGATTAATACGACTCTTCTACAATGTTTATAAGATTCAGTAGATAATTTTTGTAAAATTAAGTCATTCTTCTCATTAACTGTTCTGTATATTATAGCTCTGCCAACTAAGTCATCATATCTTGGTTTGATTTTATAGGAGAATATATATATGATATGTCCTCATTAGTGGATAAATTAGGATGGGAAACGATGCTATTTAGATATACTGTAGCTGAAATAAACTTTGAGCATCGTTTCTCACAGACACACCTGGCTGTTATGAACACCTCCCTCTTTTCTTCCAATTTCTCTCTATGCCCATTTTAGCTTTTTGAGAGCAAACATGATCAGGCACTGGGGTTTTGCTGTTTAATCCTTGATCCATGCCTCACAATATGCTAATCAGGTGTTACACAAACTCCTTATGTACTGTAGCTCCTTATTTGCACAGTTTTAGCAGTCTCACATTTTAGACACAACCAGAAAAAAAAAAAATCCCACGGGTGACAGAGAGTTTGTGGGGTGGAGTCTTACTGGTGAAGAAATTTCCACCCACCAGTGTTGGTCAGCTGTTTTTAGACAGAGCAAGTCAGCAAGAGAATGACCTTAGGAGACAGGAAGAAAAGTTGGCATTTAAAAGATGTCTCAGTCCACAGAAGAGGGAAGGAGCACAGGGAAACACTTCAAAAGGGACCCTCCTCAGTTTTCCAGAGAGAAAAAGGAAAAGGGGGGGGGGAGAGAAATACTTTAGTCTTGCAAAATTCTGTTAATAATAAAGAAAACACTAGCACTCCTCTTTGTGTTTCTTTTCTGGACTGCCTCACAGGGATTACACCAATCTTGCAAAGTTGAAAATATGTCTCCCCTCCAGAAATCCTATACAATAGGTAGGCTACAATCTAATAAAGGATAAAGTACAGGTAATCCTTAACTAGTGATCATTTGTTTAGTAACTATTTGGAGTTGTGATGGGGCTGAAAAAGTCCAGTACTCACACTTAAAATCATTTCATGCACTAATGATTGCCATACCACTCTCATGTGATTGCAATTGGGATGCTTGGCAACTAGCTCGCATATACGACTGGTTCCTGTATCCTGTGCTCATGTGATCACAATTTGCAACCTTTCTTTGGGGGGGGGGGTTTCTGGCAAAAAAAAAATTAGAAGAATGGATTTGAATTTATGACTGTGGCATTAACGACCATGGGTGGATGTGACATAGACCACAATGACTGAATAAAAGAAAATCCAGTCCCAATTGTGGTTGTAAGTTGAGGACTACCTATCAATCCAGGGATTGGAAAATCAGAGAGCATGAAGAAGACCAGTATATGCAGGGATGAAGGGGAAAACAGGACCGTCAGATTGTTCAGCCATGAAAAGAGAAGTAGGAAGTAGAACTTCTCAAATCCCATGGAGGGATATCCCGCAGAAGGAAGTCAAACCTTCTTCATTTCTTTCCAAAGTACAAGACATAGAATAATGGAGCTGAGTTATAGTAAGACGGAGTTTGGGTGAAGGTTAGTAAGAACTTCCTAACAATAAGAGCACTTCAGCAGTGACAACAGGGATGTGCTGGGACCTCCTTCGTTGGGTATAAGCTAAGACGGTCATTTCCCTGGGAAAATTTAATTTGAATTCCTGCCAGGGGTATCGAAAAAGGGAAGATGGTGGTTGCACCACTGCAATTGCAGCCCAATCCTTTGTCTCTCTCTCCCTCCCTCCCCCCCCCCCCCCCTCTCCTCTCTCTGTGTGTGTGTGTGTGTGTGTGTGTGTGTGTGTGATGAGAGAGAGAGAGAGAGATGAGAGAGAGAGAGAGGAGAGAGAGAGAGAGAGAGGAATGAATGAATTGTGAATACAGAGAAAGGAGTAGGGCTTTGATAGCATTATTGCATCACCCTCTTTCCTCTTTTGACCAGGAAAGTCCCTGCAAGCAATCCTGATTTCAGCCCAGAGCAAGTGCTTGGTGTCCACGGCCCCAGTGGAATTTTTCAACTCTGGAGTTCTGTGAATCAGAATTCAGTTCAAATCACAGTCATAAGAATTCTTTGCAAAGGGTAAGAGAACGCTAATGTGAATGTTGAAAATCCATGTAATACATTTAAGGAATAAAAACAAGAGTCAAATAGACAGTAGAGTAAAGTAAGTAGAAATAGAATTCCATCCACCATTAAATCTGCAAAAAGATCTATAACCTCAGGTTATAGCTGTTTAGCTGTTTTCCATTTCCATCCTATTTTCTGTAAGATCTCAATACTCTGGAAAGTAACCACAAATAATTGCCTTGGGGCCAGCCAGGCTCTGTGTCCTACAATTTTAGCAATGCAGCCAAACAAAGCAATATTCCTTAGCAACATGTTTGATTTCAAGAATATATTTGAACCTCCACGTAGGCCCAAGAAACACAATTAGAAAAAAAGGAGTGAGTGAAAATCAATATTTTGTGTGGAGGAATGGCCACAGGAACAATCAGAGGCAAACTGTAAGGGGGCCAAATGGGTATTGAGGAGACATTGTCCCCATGTGCTGTTTGGGAAGTGGGAATCTTTTGACTAGAGAAACCATCATGGTGGCTATTCTGAGAAGAAGAAAGCTCTCAAGGCAGCCATCGTGGGGATTGGCCAAAGCATACTTCTGCTTTTCCAGATATGCTCACTTAGCCCTCTAAGCTGAGCACTCCTGTCCTCTCTGTGGCTGAGCAATCTCTACCTTTGGAAAATGTTCCACTAGGGATTTCTGAGAGGAGGGATTATACAACCATTTAAAAAACCCCATATATCTCATTGATTGGAGGCAAGAAATTGGAAATTGTGTTAGGTTTGGTCCACATCCTCAAAATCCAATTCAGACTCGATCTGAGCAATTTTATCTCTGTTTATCACAATCCTCACAGTGTCCTTGAAGATGTTCATCAGGCCCCTCCCTTCTACAAAGGCGTGGTTCAAGGTCTTTGTTCTTAGTCCCAAGGATAATTAACCAAAGTTAAACATAACTATGCTTAGGATGTTGCAGCTGCTCAGTTTCTCATTGGTTCAGCAGGTAATGTCAATGGAGTCTGGAGAAAGACCGTCCTCATTCTTATTTATGAGGGCAAAAATCAGACCTTTTCTTAGCCCCTGGGACTCTATGGGGGAGATTCCCACCTGAACCACCGGACCCTCCAGGCATCGTCTCCATGGTGGGATTCATCATCTCAGGATCTAAAAACAATCAGGATTCAAGAAGGAATTCATTTAGTCCTTTGGATTTCAACAATATTTCTCGTGAAATCTCTTAGCAAATACCAACATTCTTTTTTGCACATTTGCAACACATCTTCATTTATTGGCAAAGAAAAGGGATTCCCCCCCCCCCAAAAAACAATGAGGATGGAAGCCCAGCACTCTATACAAAACATATGACCCCCCTCCAATGAACAACAACAGTGAGTTAACCTAACCCACCACCAGCTGTTTTCCAACAAGGGAGGCTCTTTCTGCTCTGGGCACACTGCCACACCATGGGAATCGACCTCAAGCTCGTCAGATGATCAACTTCAGAAGACAAGCAGAGCCCACCACTAAAGGTCCTTGCAGTTCCTCTCTTGACCAAGTCCCTTCTCATCTCCTCTCTCTGCATAAAGGAATACTCCCATTGTTAATACTCCCACTCCTTCTGTGTTTCCCCGGAGCATTTGTTTGTTTGTTTGTTTGTTTGTTGTTTGTTTGTTTGTTTATTGGTTCGATTTATATTTCCTGATCTTTGGCAAAAAATTTCAGCAGTTGCTGTCAAGGGATAACTCGAGTGTGCCTTCCGTCCCTGTCCTACTGTCCCCATTTATTCTTACTCATTTATTATGTATATATTTATACCTGTTTATACTTATATGCTTATATGTTATGTTCTTACTTGTTTTCTCATAGATACTTGACAAATTAAATCAATAAAATAATAAATAAATAAACTTTTAATATTATAATCCAAATTATTGGATTTTAACAAGTTTAGCAATGCAGCCAAACAAAGCAATATTCCTTAGCAACATGTTTGATTTCAAGAATATATTTGAACCTCCACGTAGGCCCAAGAAACACAATTAGAAAAAAAAAGTGACTGAAAATCAATATTTTGTTTGGAGGAATGGCCACAGGAACAATCAGAGGTAAACTGTAAGGGGCCCAAGTGGATATTGAGGAGACATTGTCCCCATGTGCTATTTGGGAAGTGGGAATCTTTTGATTAGAGAAACCATCATGGTGGCTATTCTGAGAAGAAGAAAGCTCTCAAAGCGGCCATCGTGGGGATTGGCCAAGCATCCCCCGCCCAAAATGATGAGGATGGACGCCGCCCAGCACCACTCTATACAAAACATATGACCCCCCTCCAATGAATAACAACAGTGAGTTAACCTAATCCGCCACCAGCTGTTTTCCAACAAGGGAGGCTCTTTCTGCTCTGGGCACATGCCCACCATGGGAATCGACCTCAAGTTGATTTTTTACTATCGGTTCTTTTTTTTTTTATTGGTTTTTATTGTGAAAATATAGAATACAATTCTACGTTTTTCGGTTCTGTGGTGTTAAATATAAATACATATTATATACATATTATTTACATAGTATTGCATCTTTGCTTGTATATGATTTAGGTATTATTACAAGTAGTAATGCACAGTTCTTTATGATCATATATACATGTTATTTACTTGTTATTTACATAGATTGCAACCTTAGTTCAGTAATGCACATGGTAATAACTCTTTTGATCATTATTAGTTAACCTTCATACTTCTCAAACTTCACTTTTTGTTTCTTTTCTCTATCCACTCATACCACAGCTCCCACACATTATAATGTTCCGTGTTCTCTCTTTCGTTAAGTTCTAATGTTAGCTTATTCATTTCGGTGCACTCTAATATTTTCTGATATATTTTCTGTAGGCGTGTCTTGTGGTGGGTGTAGCATGGCTTGGTGGACATGTCTTTGTGGACGTGGCAGGGGAAGGGTACTGTAAAATCTCCATTCCACCCCATTCCAGGGGAAGGATACTGTAAAATCTCCATTTCCACCCCACACCAGGAGAAGGATACTGCAAAATCCCTATTTCCTCCTGATCAGCTGGGACTCGGGAGGCAGAGAATAGATTGGGGCGGGGCCAGTCAGAGGTGGTATTTACCGGTTCTCTGAACTACTCAAACTTTCCGCTACCAGTTCTCCAGAACTGGTCAGAACCTGCTGAAACCCACCTCTGTTGCAGGTCCTGTCTTGACCAAGTCCCTTCTCATCTCCTCTATCTGCATAAAGGAATACTCACATTGCTAATACTCCCGTCCCTTCCATGTTTCCCTGGGAACATTTCCTGATCTTTGGCAAAACAATTTCAGCAGTTGCTGTCAAGGGATAACTTTAAAATATTATCATCCAAATCTTATGCTTAACCTAGAAAGTCACTGTATGCACTCACTATTGGAGCAATATCCTTCAGTGTTTACAATTGTTACAATCTGGTGATTTCAAAAGTGCAGATAAGCCTTTGTTCAATTTTGCAATATGTGTCTATTCACCCTCTCTATCTCTTCGGGATATTAATTTTATTGCTACAACCTACTAAAACAATGGCCTAATGTTTTATGATTACCAGTCTGTATGGTATCCATTGCTAAAATTCTACCCAGTTCGAGATCTTCCAGAAATTCAGTCCATCTCAGATGGGCAAATGGAGAAAAGGAAATATGCTGTTTTGGTGACTTACCTCTCAAAGGCAACACCAACGGGTCACTTGGCACTGACCAGACAAAGGGGTTGCTTTCAAGGTGGTACTGGCAGGTATAACTTCCTGCCTCTTTCAACCTTGCCGAGTGGAGAGAAAAATCCACTTCCTTTTCCCAAGGCTCTGCAGCCTTGTACTGTATCTGCTTCCTTGAGTTCATAAGAGCAAATGTCAGTCTAGGTTTTTTCCCGTTGCACCTTACGAAGAAGTATGGATGATCTTTTGGATTTAAAATCTGGATGGAAGGTTTGGTCAGGCTGGGATCTAGAAGGGAGAAAGATTCAATGAAGATTCAGAGATCATTGTAGGCAAATATCTCCTGCTTCATTCAGCCACAAATAACATCCCTCCTTTTTCAGTCTTTTGACAAAAAAAGGATTCCATTCTCAGTACATTTCCCTCCAAATATTTATAAGAAAATGAAAGCCTATTTATTCTTCTCCACTATATTGTTTTATCGAATGCCAAGCACCTAAATTTCCCTCATCTTACATTCTGTGTCTTCAACGTGCTATACTAAACAAAGTTAGCTTACAGAGAACGGCATCTATAAAAGCCAAAAGATATCAAAATGAATTTATAGGCGCCATGATGTAAGTGCCCAAATGGCTGCATTGTCTCATGGGGTCAACAACATCTGATGGGAAGATGTAAGTTCCTGTTCACATTTCTGTTTTGCCATCCTCATGCACATGTAGGCACTCTTTGTCCAATCCAGAGGGTTGGAGGACTGCGAAAGAACCTAATTCACATCAGGGCAAGAAAATGAACCAATTTTAATCTGGATCACATCACTATGGACACAGGAGGGAAATCTCTTGCAAAATGCATGGATATTTTAATTGAAGCAACTTGGCTTTCCATTCAGGCATTACAAAGGCTAATTTCCCACCTCCTGTACCTGTGATCTGAGTGGTATACAGAGTGCTCCCTCTTCCTTCCCCTTCCCAACAACAACCCTGTTGGTTGATATAGACTTTTCTTTTGGGCTCAGTTGAAAAAGACTTGGAAATTTTTTTGGGGGGGGGAACTTTGATGTTGTATATAAAAACATAATTACTTTTCTTTCTACTTGGAAACTGCTTCTGGATTTGGTGCTCGAGGTGGAAAAAAAAATGAAATTTGATTTTGGGGTTTACTGATTAGATATGTTGTTGTAGAAATGGCTGGTTTATACTATTATGTAAAAGTAAAAAGTTGAGGTTTGATGTTACTGTCTTATTCTACTGCACCAAAAAAAGTCAGAAGTCAATTCCTTTTCTGTCTTTCTCCCATCTGTTCTACACTTTTCTCTTCCCTTTTCCCTCCCCCATTTTTCCTATTATTTGCTTTTGTATTTTTGTATTTTATATTATAAATGAATAAAAAGGATAAAATACCCAGAGAGAAGAAAGAGGGAGGAGGGAGGGAGGGAGGGAGGGGGAGAGAGAGAGAGAGAGGGAGGGAGGGAGGAAGGGGGGGAGGGGAAGAGAGATTTAGGGAGGGAGGGGGAGGGGAGGAGAGAGGGAGGGGGAGAAAGAGAGAGAGGGAGGGAGGATAGTAGAGAGAGGGGGGAGGGAGGGGGGAAAGAGAGGAGAGAGGGAGAGAGGAGGGGGGGAAAGTGAGAGGGGAGAGGAGGGAGGGGGGAGAGAGAGGGAGAGGGAGGAAGGGAGGGGGAGAGAGAGAGGAGAGGAGGAGGGAGGGGAGGGAAGAGAGAGGGAGGGAGGAAGGGAGAGGGAGAGAGAGGGAGGGAGAGAGGGTGGGAGGGGGAGCGGGAGGAGGAGAGGGGGGGAGGGAGAGGGGGGGAGAGGGAGAGAGGATTTATTGAGAGAGGGAGGAGGGAGGGAGGGAGGGGGAGAGAGGGAGGGAGGGAGAGGTAGAGAGAGGGGGGAGGGAGGGGGAAAGAGAGAGAGGGAGATGGAGTGAGGGGGAAAGTGAGAGAGAGAGAGGGAGGGGGGGGGAGAGGAGGAAAGGGGGGGGGGGAAAAGAGAGATTGAGGGAGGGGTAGAGAGAGAGGGGGAGGGGGGGGTGTGTGAGAGAGAGAGGGAGGGAGGGGGAAATATAGAGAGAGAGGGAGGGAGGGGGAAAGAGAGAGAGGGAGGGAGGGGGAGAGAGAGAGGGGGGGGAGGGAGTGGGGAGGGGGAGAGAGGGAGAGGGAGGGAAGGGAGTGGGGAAGAGAGGGAGGGAGGGAGGGGAGAGAGAGAGGAGGGGAGGGAGGGAGGAAGGGGGAGGAGGGAGGGATGGGACAGGGACAGGGAGAGAGAAAGGGAGGAAGGGGGAAAGAGCGAGAGGGAGGGATGGGGTAGAGAGAGGGGGAGGGAGGGGGAGGGGAAGAGAAGGAGAGGGAGAGGGGGGGAGGGGGAAGTAGAGAGAGAGGGAGGGAGGGGATGAGAGAGAGGAGGGAGAGGGGGGGGGGGAGAGAGGGAGAGGGAGGGAGGGGAGGGAGGGAGAAAGGGAGGGAGGGGAAAGGAGAGAGAGAGGAGGGAGGGAGGGGAAGAGGGAGGGGGGAGGGAGGGAGGGGGAGGGTGGGAGAGAGAGAGGGAGGGAGGGGGAGGAGAGAGAGGGAGATGGAGGATGGAGGGGAATAGAGAGAGAGAGAGGGAGGGGGAGGGATAGAGGGGGAGGGAGGGAGGGGGAAAGTGAGAGAGAGGGGGGAGGGAGGGGGGAAAGAGAGAGGGAGGGGGAAAATGAGAGAGAGGGAGGGATGGGGGAGGGAGCGGGGGAGGAGGGAGGAAGGGAGGGGAAAGAAGAGAGAGAGAGGGGAGGGGGGAGTGAGGAGAGGGAGAGGAGGGAGGGGGAAAGTGAGAGAGAGGTGGGGAGGGAGGGAAAGAAGAGAGGGGGGGGGGAAATTGAGAGAGAGAGGGAGGGACAGGAGAGAGAAAAGGGGGGAGGGGGAAAGAGAGGGAGGGAGGGAGGGAGGAGGAGAGGGGGTAGGGAGGGGAAAAGAGAGGAGAGGGAGAGGGAGGGAGGGGAAAGTGGAGAGAGAGGGAGAGGAGGGGAGGAGGGGGAAATGAGAGGAGAGAGAGGGAGGGAGGGGAGGAGAGAAGGGAGGGGGGGGGAGGAGAGAGAGAGGGAGGAGGGGGTAGAGAGAGGGAGAGGGAGGGGTGAGGGGGAGAGAGAGGGATAGGGAGGAAGGGAGGGGGAAAGAGAGGGAGGGAGGAAGGGAGGGGGAGAAGAGGGGAGGGAGGGAGGGGGAGAGGGAGAGAGAGGGAGGGAGGAGGGGGGGAGGGGGAGAGAGAGAGGGAGGAGAGAAGGGGAGAGGAGGAAGGGAGGGAGGAAGGGAGGAGGGTGAGGGAGAGGGGAGGGGGGGAGAGGGAGGGAGGAGGGAGAGAGAGATGGTGGAGGGAGGGGAAAGAGAGAGTGAGAGATGGAGGGAGGGGAAAGTGAGAGATAGAGAGCGGGAGGGAGGGGGAGAGAGAAAGGGAGGGAGGGGGAAGAGAAGGAGGAGGGGAGGGGTAAGAGAGAGATGGGGGAGGGAGGTGTGAGAGAGAGAGGGAGGGAGGGGGGAAGTGAGAGAGAGAGAGGGAGGGAGGGGGAAGAGATGAGAGGAGGGAGGGGGGAGAGAGAGAGGGGGAGGGAGGAAGGGAGGGGGAGAGAGAGGGAGAGGGAGAGGGGAGGGGGAAAGAGAGAGAGGGAGGGGAGGGGAGGAGAGAGAGGGAGGGAGGGAGGAAGGGGGAGAGAGAGGGGGAGGGTGGAGGGAGAGTGAGGGAGGGACAGGGAGAGAGAAAGAGGAAGGGGGGAAGGGAGAGAGAGAGAGAGGGAGGTAGAGAGATGAGGAGGGGGGGAGGGAGAAAGAGAGGGAGAGAGGAGAGGGAGGAGGGGGGAAGTGATGAGAGAGAGGGAGGAGGGGGTGAGAGGAGAGGGAGGGAGGGGGGAGAGAGTTGGAGAGGGAGGGAGGGGAGAGAGTAAAGGGAGGGGGAAGAAAGAGAGGGAGGGAGGGAGGGGAAAGAGGGAGGGAGGGAGGGGAGGGAGGGGAAAAGTGATGAGAGAGAGGGGAGGGAGGGGGGGAGAGAGAGGGAGAGGGGAGAAGGGAAGGGGAAAGAGAAGAGAGAGGGAGGGGAGGGGGAGGGAGAGGGGAGGAGGGGGGGGAAAGGAGATGAGAGGGGGGGAGGGAGGGGGAAAGGGAGGAGGGAGGGGGAAAGAGAGATTAGAGAGGGGAGGGGGGAGAGGAGAAGGGAGGGAGGGAGGGGGAGAGAGAAAGGGAGGGAGGGAGGGGGGGGAGAGAGTGAGGGGGAGGGAGGGGAACTGAGAGAGAGAGGAGAGGGAGAGAGAGAGAAGAGGGGGAGAAGGGAAGAGAGAGAGAGAGAGGGAGGGGGGAGAGGAGAAAGGGAGGGAAGGGGAAAGAGAGAGAGGGAGGGAGGGAGGGGGAGAGAGAGGGAGAGTGAGGGGGAGAGAGAGGGGGGAGGGAGGGGGAAAGAGAGAGGAGAGGGAGGGGGAGGGAGAGAGAGAGAGGGAGGGAGGGGGAAAGAGAGGAGGGAGGGAGGGGGGGGGAGAGAGAGGGGGGGGGAGATGAGAGAGAGAGGGAGGGAGGGAGGAGAGAGAAAGGGAGGGAGGGAGGGGGAGAGAGAAAGGGAGGGAGGGAGGGGAAAGAGAGAGAGAGGGAGGGGGAGGGAGAGAGGGAGAGGAAGGGAGGGGGAAAGAGAGAGGGAGGGGGAGGGGTAGAGAGGGAGAGGGAGAGGGAGGAAGGGGGGGGAAAGAGAGAGGGAGGGAAGGGAGGAGGAGAGAGAGGGAGGGAGGGGGAGAGAGAGGGGGGAGGGAGGGGGAAAGAGAGAGAGAGGGAGGGGGAGGGAGAGAGAGAGAGGGAGGGAGGGGGAAGAACGAGAGAGGGAGGGAGGGGAGGGGGAGAGAGAGGGAGGGAGGGGGAGAGAGAGGGAGGGAGGGGGAGGAGAGAGAGGGAGGGAGGGGGAGAGAGAGGGGGAAGGTAGGGGGAAAGAGAGAGAGAGGGAGGGGGAGGGAGAGAGGGAGAGGGAGGGAGGGGGAAGTGAGAGAGAGGGGGGGAGGGAGGGGGAAAGAGAGAGGGGGGGGAAAGTGAGAGAGGGAGGGAGGGAGGGGAAAAGAGAGAGGAGGGGGGGGGAGAGAGAGGGAGGGAGGGAGAGAGAGGGAGGGAGGGGAGCTAGGGGGAGAGAGAAAGGGAGGGCGGGAGGGGGAGAGAGAAAGGGAGGGAGGGAGGGGGGAAAGAGAGAGTGAGGGAGGGGGAGGGAGAGAGGGAGAGGAAGGGAGGGGGAAAGAGAGAGGGAGGGAGGGAGGGTAGAGAGAGAGGGAGAGGGAGGAAGGGAGGGGGGAGAGAGAGAGGGAGGGAGGGAGGAGGAGAGAGAGGGAGGGAGGGGGAGAGAGAGGGGGGAGGGAGGGGGAGGGGAAAAAGAGAGAGAGAGGGAGGGGGAGGGAGAGGAGAGAGAGGGAGGGGAGGGGAAGAGAGAGGGAGGGAGGGGGAGGGGAGAGAGGGAGAGGGAGGGAGGGGGAAGTGAGAGAGAGGGGGGGAGGGAGGGGGAAAGAGAGAGGGAGGGGGAAAGTGAGAGAGGGAGGGAGGGAGGGGTAGAGAGAGAGGGAGAGGGAGGAAGGGAGGGGGGGGGAGAGGGGGAGAGAGAGAGGGAGGAGGGGAGAGGAGGAGAGGGAGGAGGGGAGAGAGAGGGGGGAGGGAGGGGGAAAGAGGAGAGAGAGGGAGGGGGAGGGAGAGAGAGAGAGGGAGGGAGGGGGAGAGAGAGGGAGGGAGGGGAGGGAGAGAGGGGAGAGGGAGGGAGGGGGAAGTGAGAGAGAGGGGGGGGAGGGAGGGGGAAAGAGAGAGGGAGGGGGAAAGTGAGAGAGGGAGGGAGGGAGGGGGGAAAGAGAGAGGGGAGGGGGGGGAGAGGAGGGAGGGAGGGGAGAGAGGGAGGAGGGGGAGGGAGAGAGGGAGAGGGAGGGAGGGGGAAGTGAGAGAGAGGGGGGGGAGGGAGGGGGAAAGAGAGAGGGAGGGGGAAAGTGAGAGAGGGAGGGAGGGAGGGGGAAAGAGAGAGGGAGGGGGGGAGAGAGAGGGAGGGGGGAGGGAGGGAGAGAGAGGGAGGGAGGGAGCTAGGGGGAGAGAGAAAGGGGGAGGGAGGGGGGGGAGAGAGAAAGGGAGGGAGGGAGGGGGAAAGAGAGGGAGGGAGGGAGGGCTGGAGAAGAGAGGGGGGAGGGAGGGGAAAAGAGAGAGAGAGGGAGAGGGAGGGAGGGGGAAAGTGAGAGAGAGGAGAGGGAGGGAGGGGGAGAGAGAAAGGGAGGGAAGGGGAAAGAGAGAGGGAGGGAGGGAGGGGAGAGAGAGGGGAGTGAGGGGGAGAGAGAGGGGGGAGGGAGGGGGAAAGAGAGAGAGAGGGGGGGGAGGGAGAGAGAGAGAGGGAGGGAGGGGGAAAGAGAGAGGGAGGGAGGGAGGGGGAGAGAGAGGGAGGGAGAGGGGAGAGAGGAGGGAGGGAGGGGGAGAGAGAAAGGGAGGGAGGGAGGGGGAGAGAGAAAGGGAGGGAGGGAGGGGGGAAAGAGAGAGAGAGGGAGGGGGAGGGAGAGAGGGAGAGGAAGGGAGGGGGGAAAGAGAGAGGGAGGGAGGGGTAGAGAGAGAGGGAGAGGGAGGAAGGAGGGGGAAAGAGAGGGGGAGGGAGGGAGGGGGAGAGAGAGGGTGGGAGGGGGGAGAGAGAGGGGGAAGGTAGGGGGAAAGAGAGAGAGAGGGAGGGGGAGGGAGAGAGGAGAGGGAGGGAGGGGGAAGTGAGAGAGAGGGGGGGAGGGGGGGGAAAGAGAGAGGGAGGGGGAAAGTGAGGAGGGAGGGAGGGAGGGGGAAAGAGAGAGGGAGGGGGGGGAGAGAGAGGGAGGGAGGGAGAGAGAGGGAGGGAGGGGGGAGGAGAGAGAGGGAGAGGGAGGGAGGGGGAAGTGAGAGAGAGGGGGGGAGGGAGGGGAAAGAGAGAGGGAGGGGGAAAGTGAGAGAGGGAGGGAGGGAGGGGGAAAGAGAGAGGGAGGGGGGGAGAGAGAGGGAGGGAGGGAGAGAGAGGGAGGGAGGGAGCTAGGGGGGAGAGAGAAAGGGAGGAGGGAGGGGGGAGAGAGAAAGGGGGGAGGGAGGGGGGAAGGAAAGAGAGAGGAGAGGGAGGGGGAGGGAGAGAGGGAGAGGAAGGGGGGGGAAAGAGAGAGGGAGGGAGGGGTAGAGAGAGAGAGCGGAGAGGAGAGGGAGGAAGGGAGGGGGAGAGAGAGAGGGAGGGAGGGAGGAGGAGAGAGAGGGAGGGAGGGGAGAGAGAGAGGGGGGAGGGAGGGGGAAAGAGAGAGAGAGGGAGGGGGAGGGAGAGGAGAGAGAGGGGGAGGGGGAAAGAGAGAGGGAGGGAGGGAGGGGGAGAGAGAGGGAGGGAGGGGGAGAGAGAGGATGGGAGGGGGAGAGAGAGGGGGAAGGTAGGGGGAAAGAGAGAGAGAGTGGGGGGGGGAGAGGAGAGAGGGAGAGGGAGGGGAGGGGGAAGTGAGAGAGAGGGGGGGAGGGAGGGGGAAGAGAGAGGGAGGGGGGGAAAGTGGAGAGAGGGAGAGGGCAGGGGGGAAAGAGAGAGGGAGGGGGGGGGAGAGAGAGGGAGGGAGGGGAGAGAGGGAGGGAGGGAGCTAGGGGGAGAGAGAGGGAGGGAGGGAGGGAGGGAGGGAGGGGGAGAGAAAGGGGGGATAGAGAGCAATTTGCCCAAAATTATCCCTTGAGCTTCTCTGACAGGGAAAGGAAATATTTGGCTGATGCAAAATTGTGAAACTCTTAGTAGAGCCAGTTGTGTGAAAATCAAACAATTAGTGAGCAGACATCACCTGTTAGGTTGAGATAGATTTTATCATGTAAAGGTGAGCATCCCACTCCATCCAGGCAAGATCTGCAGCTGTACATGCCCCCTGTGATTTGTTAAGATGGGAGAAGGGAAATGCAGCCTGATTGGATTTTTCCTCCTTAACTCGTACAGTTTTCCCTATATCCTTGGAGCTTGTAGATCTGACGAGATAGAATTTTCCATGAAAATGATCCTGGCTTCTGCAGAAGAAGGTGATATCTTCTCCCAAAGCAGCCATCCCACTGATGTTGGTAGATAGCAAAGGTGTGGAAGGAATTTGACCTGGACAAGACAAAAATAAATAAATGTGGATAAAATGTGGAAGGTGGAACATCTGTTTATCCTCTGAAATGGAACAATTAAAGGCAAAATCAGGACTCTTTCTGTGTTTGGAAGCATTATTTTTCTTTACAAAGAGAGGCCAGTACTTTTTGGAAGAAATGATTTCACCAGGAGCCCTTAAGTAGAGAATACACCTGTAATGTATCTATTTTGTTGCCATATATTACCACTTTCATGCCTTCAGGTTTTTGCTAGCATTGATGATGCACTGCAGTAGAGTTTAGCATATAGGTTGATGTGTTTGAGCCCAGAAAGTAAACAGGGAAGATTTTACTCCATATCACCAACCTCTAGTTTATTAAATATTTTATAGTTCACATTTTCTAGTTCTGCCTTGTATATTTACTATTTATTCTGTTTATTATTTATTCTAGGACATCATACATAGATTGCAACATCCAGATGTTTTTTTTTTAAAATATAACCTATGCCCAACTTCTGTTCTTGGTCAAAATCAGCTGGTCTGTCGGGTCCCATAGATTCCTATAAGGACACTGTCATTCTGGTGGGAGTGGGGGAGGCTTAGGGGGAATCTCTGTATGGGGTTTCTGTTTCTATTTCTTGCTTTGCTTTGCTGTAATTTTCAGGACCTTGGCTGCTTTATCTCATCTCTGGAGAAGAGAAGCAGCATTGCCTTGGAGACTGGCGTTTATCACCTTTCTCGGCCTGAGCTTCCCATAAGATCTTTACACCCCAGGATTGGCTTGATGATGTTTTGGACTTTGGGAGGGGCTCTGTCTGCAATGGTTTAATCTAACGTTTCAAGTGGGAAAAGTTACAGTACTTTCTGCCTACATCTCTTGCTGTCACAATCTTCCAGTAAAAGTTTCCTTTTGAAAAGGCTTTCGTTTCAGGAGTTCTGGTTTCCTTTGAAGAATGGCGAGGCAGGACCTTACAGGAAGTCCAAGCTGGTCAACCTGGAGAGGCAATAGCCCCAACGTGGGGACCATGCATACAATATCTATCCAGGGCTGCAATCAAGAAGATCCTGAATGCTGGGGAGAAACTTCCACCAAAACCCAGCAGAATGTTGTGGTCCGCCAGCAGTCTGCAGAGTTGGCAGCAGAGTTGGACAGCGATGAGGCTGAGGGAGAACAGGGGCCAGTCCTGGAGGCTGGGCAAGGCCTGGATGAAGGCTCTGCATCAGAGGCAGAGATGGGCCCAGGGCCGTCAGGGAGTGAGGTGTGGATTCCAGAGCCTCCAGAGCCTGATAGGAGTGAGGCAGAGGAACAGGAGGAGCCTGTTCCTAATGCACGCATGAGAAGAGCTGCCAGAAGGCAAGAGCAGCTCAAGCAAAGAGGACAACTCTGGAGTAGGGCCAAGAGATGATTGGCCACTCCCATAAGGCTTAAAACAGACCAGCAACGGCGTTTGGGCTTTGCCGGAAAACAAATTTGGTAGCTTCGTCTTCTTCATCTACTCTTGCATTTATTTTTATATCTGTGACTTCTGAATGTTTGCCAAGAAAGGCCTCTGGCAGTTGGCCTAACTGGATCAAGGTTTGCGATAGGACTGAGGAATTTGTGTTGGGACGAATTTGCTTTAATTTAGTTGAAAGACACTGGGAATGAAGTAATTCTCAGCTGTTCGAATAAAGTTTGTTTGTTTTTTCACTGACTGATTTTCCTACTACTTACTTGGGCCTGGGTCACAACACAGGAGGAGATCCTCAGTGCCTGCACCAAGCAGCTCTACAAAACCAAGGTGGTCCATTGGTGTTGGGAAGAAGGGAGGCTGGGACGGCAGAACCAAGGGAATCACCTTCACTCATGGGAGCTACCAGCAAGGCTGGAGGCACATGCTGGAGAACCTCTACAAAGATGATGAACTAGAGGAAGCTCCAGGCTGATCCAATCAACTTCTGAGGGAAGCCATTATCCATGGCATTTGGATCCAGAGTGTCCCGGCTTGTGCTGTGGGTGAGGATGAAGCACAAGAGGAAGCTACCGGTGAGCAAGGGGAGTCCCCAACCCTGAGGACGTCTGCTGGTGGTACAACAGCCACTGATGAGTCCATCATCATCCTGGGAAGTCCTTCTGGCACAGGGCATGGCCCACAGCTCAGCAGGAAAAGGTTTCTCCCTCTAGAGTGAAAGGCACCCCCCCCCGGGCATCAGATTTGATGGTGACCCCCATCAACTAGGATTTTTTTCTCATGCATGTGCTAACCTACATGCAGGATTATGTGAGAGGCCTCCCCACAGAAGGAGCCAAAATCAGGGTCATCATTCTGGCCCTAGAAGGGGTAGCTGTGCAGTGGATGGTGAACCTCCACCATGCAGATGCCCCAAAGCTTCGAAACTTCAGTCGCTTTATGATGGCCCTGAGATGGAGATTTGAGGACCTCTTAGCCAACCAAAAGGCCAGGGACTGCATCAGGAATGTCAGGCAAGGACGCCCACCGGTGGCTGAATACATAGAGGAATTCTGAGAGATGGCCTGTCACGTGGATTGGCCAGAGGAAATACTGTTGAGCTGGTTCAAGGATGGGCTCAATGACAACCTGTACAAAACCTACATAGACCATGGAGCCCCAGTCCTCCTGCATGACTGGTACATTTTGGCTGAGGAAGCTGAAATAGACTAAGGCTGGAACCAGTACCCTGCAAGTCACACCTGGATGAGGTCCCCATCGGAGAACGGAGATGGTCAAACCATCTGGTTCAACTGCGGAAAAGCACAGCTGATTGTCATACAAAAATCCCTGCCTGAAAAAGAGAGTAGCAAACTGCAGGAAGGTCTACAAAACCACCACAGTGTCCCAGGGACACCACTTTAAAGAGCCGCATGGTTGTGGAGTTCCGGCCAGAGTTGCCTCCAGTGCTGGGAACTCTGACCCCTCCGGCAGAAGAACTGGACCATTTAGGGAGTGACTATGAAGATCTGTTGATAAGTGAGACTGTCGAACCCTTTATAATCCCCATAGAACTATCAATCCCACTAACGGGGAGAAAAGTAAGTTTTAAAGCATTGTTGGGCTCGGGGTGCACGAGGAACCTAATAAGCCCTACTTTAGTCAGAAGACTGGGAATCCAACTAAGGCTATTAAAAACTCCAGTCTCTTTTTGCCAACTTGATGGGTTCATTGCAGGAGGCACCCCAGCCACATGTGCCACTGAACTGCTGGAGCTCATAATGGCCAACCACTCTGAAACCATTGCTTTCATTGTGATGCCAGGGATAGAGTGGCCTTTAGTTTTGGGACTAACCTGGCTAAAGAAATGGAACCTGAGGGTGAACTGGATGGAATGGATTTTCTAACCATGAACTGGCCCAGAGGGAGGAGCCTTACAAGGCAGGGATGCCACACCGTGAGGAAGTAGCTGCTGCTGTGACAAGTGGAGCCCTACCGGGCATCCCCAGGGAGTACCGAGAATTAGCTGATGTGTTGAGCGAAGCGGCTTTGGACAAACTCCCTCCCCATAGACCTACTGACTGTGCCATTGAGATTCTACCAGGGCCAAACTGCCTAAGCCACAAATGTACACCATGATCCCTCGGGAGCTGGATGAACAATTCTATGAACAATTCATAGAACGCCAATTCATAGACAAGACCTTGAGTGCAGCTTCATTGAACCTGCCAGACCCAAAGTGGGCACCCCAGTACTGTTTCTACGCCTTTGCGTGGAACATAGAAATTTGAACACTATTTGCAAGGAAAATCTATACCCCCTTCCTCTGATGAAGGACATGCTATCTCTTTTGGCAAAGGGGAGGATTTTTTCCAAATTAGATTTAAGGGAAGCTTACAGTATTACTGGATCTGAATTCAGGAGGAGGGTGAATGGAAAACAGTGTTTAACTGCCCACTGGAGTGTTTAAAGCTTAAAGTTTTGCTGTTCGGACTCCAAGGTACTCCGGCTGTTTTCGTGCAGCTGATTAACAAAGCGCTGCATGAGCAAGGGTTTTTTGGTTTATCTTGATGACATATTGATTTACACTGAAACTAAGGCTGAACATGTTAAGTTAGAGCGGGAGGTCTTGAAAAAGTTAAGAGCAGCTAAATTGTTTGCCAAACTTTCCAAGTATGAATTCCACCAAAACAAAATAAATTACTTGGGATACCAAATCTCCCACCAAGGAGTGGAAATAGATCCTGCAAAAGTCAGGGTGGTGCTAGAGTGGGAAACCCCTCGCACCTGCAAGCAATTACAGAGCTTCCTGGGTTTCACCAACTTCTATTGGCAATACATGCCCTCTTTTGCCCAGATAGCACTCCCAATTATTAACTTGTTGAAAACTAGAGAGATACATAAGCCAAAACCCAGCCAGTCACTAAAATGGTTTAGTGCCAAGCAGCATTCGAAAAACTGAAAAGACTTTTTTCGGCTGAACTGGTGTTAAAACACCCAGATCCAGAGAAACCATTTGTAATTCAAGCCAATATCAGTGATGTGGCAATCAGAGCGGTCCTACTCCAAGAAAATAAAAAAGGCTAACTGCAACCATGTGCATACATCTCTAAAAAATTAACTGAAACCGAACAAAGATGGGCGATATGAGAGAAAGAAGCTTTTACAGTCACATGGCACTCCTGACTTGGAGACATTTCCTATAGGGCCGTGATGATGAACCTATGGCACCGGTGCCACAAGTGGCATGTGGAGCCATATTGGTGGGCACATGAGCTCAGCTCCAGCACACATGCGTGCAACAGCCAGTTGATTTTTGGACCTTCTGGGCCCACCAGAAGTCAGGAAACACACTGTTTCCAGCCTCCGGAGGGCCTCTTGGGGGATGGGGAAGGCCGTGTTTGCCCTTTCCAGGCTCCTAGAAAGGCTCTGGAGCCTGGGGAGAGTGAAAAATGGGCCTACCAGGCTCACGTGCCATCGCGTGCCAAAAGCAGGGGGCATGGGGGGGCGCATAGAATTATGGATGTGGGCACACGTGTGTGTGACCCCTCTGCATTCCCGCCGCTTTTGGCACGCAAAAAGGTTAG